ATATTCAATAACAAGTATTCCTTTGATACATTTTCTCAGGAATAAAATATAAAACAACAGAGGAAATTTATGGCAAATATAAAATACTATGAGACATTCTACCTTAGCATTTTAGGGTATAAATGCTACATTGGATTTCTTTTCCACAATATAAAAAAAGAAGAGAAAAATGCTTTTGTCGTAACTCTACAAAGTTTAAAAGAAATGTATTTCAACTGAGCAAATTACTTTTCAGTATTAGAAAGAATGTACCATTTATAGTTGACTCGGCAGAAATGAAGGTATAATTATATTATTTTCTAAAACTTTTAAGGTTCAGGTACCAATTTATCACAACAGCATAATATAACTGATGAAAAAAACAAAAAAGAAGAGAGAGAGCTACATGTCTTGATCAAGGTAGAACACATACTGTCATTCTACAGGCTCATTTCTCTCCCTGTACAACTCGCTGGGTCTATGTTAAAAAGTTATCATTTCTTTGAGGTATGAATATTTATTTTTCCTGTGTTTCTTTTTAGTTTATTGCTACATAAGTTTTACTATTTTATTTTTAACTAAAAATACCTATTGCACAAAAAAAAAAGGTATAAGGAAATGTAAAGTGGTTTTAGCCTTTTAATTTTCACAACTAGGAAGATTTCTATAAAGCAAACATTTATAGTATCTTTGCAGAGTGAATCTTTCCTGAGGCCATTAAGATCTGTCAAATAGACCACCAATTCAGATTTATGCAAAACGTGTAATATATCAAATTCCTGGTCAAAACAACTTTATATCATCAAATAAATTTAATTCACAAGTTTTCATTAACAAATATAAGCAATATGGGTTAACAAAATTAAAGAATATGCAATATAGGTTGGTGGCTATTCAACTATCAAATTACATGGTAAAGACATTAAGTTATTACAAAAATAAAATCTATGCATTGCTCTCTCTCCCCATGATTGAAATGAACTGAAAACATCATGAGATTGCATCTAACAGATTCATTCTCCAATTTTTTATAGAACACTCTACTCTACATGCTAGGAACCATGCTAAAAATTCAAGAGACAATAGCTATAAAAGACTGGGCCTGCTCATAAGGAATCACAGGCAAATCAAATTAACTATAAGAAAGAATGACAGGAGATTTCCCAGAGGTAAAAATGAAATATTATGGGAGAGCAGAAATGAAAAGATAAATTTTGATCGAAGTGAAAGATCAGCAGAAGGTTTCAGGGAAAATGACAGACGAGTTGAACCCTGATAGAAAGTAAGAATTGCTAGGGACAACAGTAACCAGAAAGGAGAATATGGACATATCCAGCAAAAGGAAAAACATTAAACAAAGGCATAAAAATCCAAGTGTACAGGAATGAGTAAAAGTGAAGGAAGGATCAAGGAGCAAAGTAGGGAGCTAAGAGCATCATGGCTAAGGGGAGCCTTGAGACAAACATTTAAGCAGTAAGCAAGGAAAGTGCCATCATTGGAAAAAATTGAGAGAAAGCAGTCTACAGAGTGGAAAGAGAAACAAGAGCAAGGACACCCAGACAAGCAGAGTGCTCCATGTGGCACAGATCACCTGTGTGAAGACTTATCAACAGCAGAGTGTTTAACTCTGGGTTCTACATTGGAAAGAAAATAGTAAGTGGCTAAATAGTAAAAAATGTAATTTTCCATTCCAAGGTATTTTCTCCAATAAAAGAAAAAGGAAAGAATACAGGAAAGAGAATTATATTACTTTTTAAAATTTAAATTAGATATTTTTAAAAAATGCTTCCTGATCAAATAAATCGCTAATCATGGGAATCATTGCAACCATATGATTAAAGAATTCCACCATTATTTCACTTTTGTATGTTTTGTTTTGTTTTAATTTACTATAGTACATATGTGCTCACTAAGGAGACAGAGCAAGAGACAGAAAAGGAAAATTAGAAATTATCCCCCAGTGGGGGATAGCCACACCACAATCCCTTCTCCTCCATTTTCCTCTTGGGACTTTGAGCAGGCAAGCACATGCGCCCAGTATGTTTCTTCAAGCTGCCAGATCAGGGACTCAAACCACAGAGTCAACCATGTGGGATCCAGCCACCTTAACCTCCATGCCACTAGCTGACCCCTGCTCTCTTATTTTTTAAATAGAAGAGCTTCACTATTAAATAATAACAGAAGTGTGATCTTTCCATGTATTAGAATTGATGATATATCTCCAGATTCTGTATGGATAGCTTAATAGAGTATACAATAAAAAAAGCACTTGTGTTTAAAATCAGGCCTGGGTTCGAGTAGTCACTTCATACATAATAGGTGAGTAAAGTTTTACATTACTCAGTTCTCTAAATTATGAATTCCTCACCTGTGAAACAAAAATGTCAGCAGATCTATGTCAAAAGATTGGCTACATGATGGGAACCAGCAGTTAGCGTAATGGCTATGTCGCTGAACTTCGAAGTAGTCGACCGCAGTTCGCGTCCCAGACCCGGTGGCGTAAAACTCACGCCGGGTGCGTGTGCGTGCATGCCCAAGATCCTGAGAGGAGAGTGGAGGAGAAGGGATTGTGGCGTGACCATCCCCCTGGGGGGTGATTTCTCGCTTTCTGTCTCTATGTCTCTCTCTGTCTGTCTGGCGAGCACATGCGCCCTGTAGCGAAAAACTTCTCCAAAAAAAAAAAATAAAAAAGATTGGCTACATGAAAACCCAATACAGTAATGTACACAAAAATGTTTTATAAATGGTGACCACATGGGCCAATCTCTAACACTACAAAGTTACAATGTAAACTCTGTAAAGGCACAAATTAAGAAAGAAAAAAGAATAAGGAGAAAAAGCAAGTTACGTGCCTCAAAATTAAGAAATTCTATGACTCATTCTGTCACCCTGTAATTATCAACGATATGCTCTTACTAGGGAATATCAGAAAGAACAGTAAGGTAAAGTAATAAGGTATCTCATCAGATGCAGAAATCAATCCCCATCCTACGAAATAGTTGCATTTCATTGCTACTGATGTATAGCATCACCGTAATGCTATATATAGTTCCACTAAATTACACAAAAAAAATCACAGTTCCACTAAAATTACACCAAAAAAAAGGTGGAGAAAGAAGGTAGTAAAGACAGAGAAAATGTTACTGAGACGGTTGACATGTCTACCATACCTTCTTTCCTAGTGTGAAAAATGGCTACAGATTCAACTCATATTTCATCCAGTATAATATTAAAAGTTCTTTAAGGTATGCAATGAGATGTTTACTAATATTAACCAATTGACTCAAGCCAGAACAATAGCATGAAGATTTATATTTAGGCTGAAGGAAATCAGTTCATTTGGAGGTTCACATATATAAAAACTGCTACCAATAACACATTTTATACAGCTCCTGCAGAAAGTTTAGGAAAGAGCGTCACACAGTGCATTTATTTGATGCATACTATGCTAGTATATTAACTTTTTTTAAGAGAGATTTTTGTTATAAGACACGTGTGCTTGCTAGAGGGACAGAGAGAGACAGAAAGTGAGAAATCACCGCCGGGGGTGGATGGCCATGCCACAATTGTCTTCCACTTCATCTTGGGATTTTGATCGTGCACACACAGGAGCCTGGCAGGACTTTAAGATGCCAGGTCTGGGACTGTAACTACGGCGCATTATGTGGGAGTCCAGCAACGTAACCATTATGCCATCTGCTGGTCCCAAAAAGATAAAATTTTACATAATGTACTTTTTAAAGATATTCTCAATGTACTCAAAATCTAGAAGATTATGTAAAAGATAGTTTCGCTTAGCCTTGCCCAAACAACTACTGACATAGCCTATTTCCTACATGAAAACAAGTCAAAACCTTTATGGGGAATAAAAAAGAAAAGAAAAAAAATCATAGAATGGGAGCCAGAAAATAATTGTACAAATATCTTAATGAACTCAAATTAATTAAAGATTATGAAAAAATTAAAAGAAATATACCACTACCTCGAGATTCTTTTAGTAGTTTTGTATTTGGGCACTGATTTCATGTTAATATATGTGACAGTGTGATTAAAATTAAAAGTAAACATTCCAGGCCAGCCTGTGGCTTGAGCTTAGGGCTACTAGATCCTATCTGGCCAACTGTATGTCAGTACTGAACCTGGTTGCTTGTGAAACATACCAGGTGCACATGTATGCATGCCCAAAATTCCAAAAGGATGGGCAGATGGAGGAAAAGGGATTGTGATGTGACCACGACCCTGGGGGGTGTGCTTTCTTGCTTTTTTTCTCCCTATCTCTCTAAGTGCACACACATTCTGGCAACTTAAAAAAAAAAAATCCCCAAATTTATATTTTACAATAAGCCAAATTTGCTCAGTGCTTCACTTTGAAAAAAGAAAATTTTACGGCAATAATATTAATATCATTTCATGAATACCTGAATAACCAGCATAACAAAAAATCATTTTAAAAGAAAACAAAATTATTTTAATTAAGTAGGTCCATACTAAACTATATCTCCAACATTTTTACTCAATCTATCTATACACTAACCAAGAAATCATACCACGGAATCCTTAAAAGAGCATTTTATTTATACATACACACAGAAAGACACAAAGCAATTTTTTGATCAAAAGCATTTCATTCAAAATTTCATTTATATATTAATTAGGAGGAAAAACTCTGCTAGGTCATTATTTCATAACTAAATTTGTGAAAACCAGCTGATTTGAAACAATCATACTTCTCAAAAGATTTCTTCACTAATGATTTAGATGTGGTGCTACACACTTTTAGACTACTAAATGTTTATTTGCACTTGACTGAAACTGAACAAATGATTTTAATATATTCCTGAATATTTTTAACTAAGTGAAATAGAACAAATACATAGTATATTTATTTCCACATAAGACATTTTTATAGATTACTTTCAAGTTCTTAAAATTAATTGTAGGTCCAGGTGCTGAAAATCCCAAATAACAGCAGAATCCAAACGAAAATATTTTAAATTTCTAAAGGCACCTTTTCTTTCCAGTATTTCAGGGAACACAGTCATCAAATGGAATCATGGCTTTAAGTCCATCCCTGCCTTCTCCTTCAAGTGCTTACCGTTCATTCTTGCTCGGAGCAGTGACAGAGCATGTAACACACTGCTCCCATCATGTGACTCACACAGCCCTACCTGAAACAGCCTACAGAGTGTCAGGTAAGCGCCTTTTAAAAGAAAATGAATGACTCTGATTTGTACAAGGAAAGAAGAAAATACGAAACTAAATGTAAAATTTTATATTAAAAATTAACTTTCTAAATGATACTATATACCAGGAAAAACAAAACAAAATTTAAAGAAAAAAGGCACTTACCTCACTTCCCATAGACTGGTTACACGATCCAGCTGGGTCGATAGGACAACACCAGCTTAGTGGATGCTGGGATTTCACCTGGAACAGAAACTAGTGACCTATAACTTTAGCAGGTCTAAAACCAAAGAAGCAAAAATCAAGTGTATAGTTTATTTTACATTCTAAGCTTCCTTTTCTTGCTGCTATTTGGGGCTATCAGCACATAATCCTACAATTAGTTCACTTTAAAAATGTGTGTGTGTGTGTGTATATATATATATATATATATAGTTTGTTTTGTTTTGTTTTGTTTTATTTTTGATCAGTCGCCATTCAGGAAGACATTTCTTTGGGTAGCTAGGAATACTGAACACTCTTACCTGCCCCTTAGCATCCTCAGGCATGGCTTTAATGTGCATTCTTTTTAAACAACGAATTACTCCATCATAAAACTGAACTGTGAAAGTTCCTAAAATAGGAGCAAGTCAGAATCATTAGAATATAGAATTCAACCTCACATCAACACTTAAAATCTAAAAAGCAGTGACCTGATAGAAGTAAATGCTGTGTGATTATAGCAACTATAAACATACACCTCCTGTAGAGACTCCATCAAGTTTATTAAGTTTATACTCTCTCCCTCTAATAATGACTCTGAATTCATATTGCCCTTAAAGAATGCAAAAACTAAGTCTTGATAAATTAATTACATGTAACTCTGATTTTTACTGAGGAACTGAAGAAATTATTTTGTAATAATTTAAGTATGTTTAGACTTATATCTGACAAAAAATCATTTACAAAAATTTACCACATGTCCATTAGAATTACCATTTGCTCTCTTTGGAAGTACTATTCAAAACAAATTACAGAGGTCCAGTGGGTGGCATAGTGGTTAAGGGACTAGAATTCCATGTGGCCAACCATGGTTTGAGTTCCAGACTTGGCAGCTTGAAACTCACTTCTGGTGCATATACATGCATGCCTAAAATCCTGAGAGGAGAATGGAAAAGGAATTGCAGTATGGCCACCCCCCCACCCTGACCCCCCCGGGGAGGTGATTTATTGACTTCTGTCTCTGTCTCTCCAGTGACCACATGAGCTCTCCGTCATACATAGATAATAGAAAGATCTGATACACAGAAAAGATTATTTTCCCAGAATGGATTATTCTTCCACCAATAGCCAAGAACTAGCAAATGAGAATTTTAGATTTCCAGACTTTTAAGCTAGAAAATACTTTACAAATCCTCTGGGAAAATGCCCTCACACGCAGACCTGGACACTGAACTCCAGGAAGGGTATATGTCATATCCAATGACATTCAGCTGAGCAGCAGCAGGGCCATCGCTTACATGCCATGCCGTTCAGGACTCAAAATTTCACTCATGTGTCTATTTTGATGTATATTCACGTTCTGTTACAGACCCCATGCTTTCAATATATACCTACTAGAAAATATAGAAATTACAAAGATTTTATACTATGAAAATTCAAATATTTTTCTAACATTTCCAGATGAATTTTTTTCTACCACTTCCCAAATGAGGGCACTTAAGTAAACAGATACTTGGCCTCTACAAAAGCACATATAAGAAATGCAATAATTGTTACTAATCACTTTAGCGTTGACACTAAAGCCAAGAGTACATTTCTGCCAATTTTCTCCTTTTCTTATAATTTGAATGACACTATCTGATGCCATACCTTTCTATAACTAGTGTAATGCTAAATACTACGGATACAAAGATCCAAATCCAAGCTGTGGAAACAACTGGTGAGGTGAAGAGCAAGGACTAAAGACATGAGAACAGCTGTGAGAGTGCCACGCCAGCTGCACTCCTTGCACCAGCACCACTCCTGCGACTGGCTGCCTCTCTCTCTTCACCCAGCATTGCTGCACTCCCCTTCCCTGCTTTGTTCACCCACTCCTCTACAGTGCTGACTTCCTCCTACCTTTTTTTATTATTATTATTATTATTATTATTATTATTATTATTATTATTTGCCAGAGGACGTGCACTTGCCAGAGAGAGACAGAGAAACGAAAAGTGAGAAAACACCCACCCCAGGGAGTGGTTACACCACAATCCCTTCTACTCCTCCTTTCTCCTTTTGGGATTGTGGGCACACACACACACGTGCACGCAGGTATTTCTCAAGGTGCTGGGTCTGGAACTTGAATCACACAGTCAGCCACATAGAGTCCAGCGGCCTCACAACCAGGCCACAGGCTGACCCCCTTCCTTCGTTCTTTATGCCTGTCTAATTCCAACCCACTCATCAAGGACCATCCACAAGCTGAAAACTTGCCTTACCCCTCCAGTCCACACTGATAAGCCCCTTATCTTTACTTCTATAATAAATGCTTACATTGTTACCTCTGTTTTGCTTTTACATTGAATTGAGGGCCTCCTTTGCTTTCGTTTTTTTTCTTTTTTTTGGAGAGGTTATTGCTATAGAGCACAAGCGCTCACCAGAAAGACAGAGACAGATAGACAGAAGGTGAGAAATCATTCCCCAGGGGGGATGGCCATGTTGCAATCCCTTCTCCTTCCTCACCTCTCGGTATCTTGAGCACGTATGCACACATGCCCGGTGTGAGCTAAGCCACCGGATCCGGGACTTGAATCACGGTTAACTACATGGGAGTCTGGCAACATAGCCATTACAACAACTGCTGGTCCCCTCCTTTGCTTTCCTTTGATTTTTTCTGTGTCTCTTTTTTTTGTGGGGAGGGAGAAGAGGTAGCAGCCTCATCCACCACGTGGGGCATTTAAAAAACACAAACTTAGTAACTCTAGTGAAGACCGTTTTTTTTTTTTTTTAATTTTGAGATAAGTTACCTGCCAGAAAGACAGATGGACAGAAAGAATGATAAAGAGAAAGCTCTCTCCTGAAGGGATGGCCCAGCTGCAATTCTTCTCCCCCATTCTCTTCGCAGGATTTTGGGTATACATGCACACACACCCAGCATGTTTTCAAGGTCCCAGGTCCAGGACTTGAACCATGCAGTCAGCCATGTGAGATTTGGAACCTTAACCACCACACCACCTGGATGGCCAGAGTGGAGAATTTCTTTTTGAACAGTATTTTTTAAAGTGTATTTATTTACTTCATCCATACGTGAGAGACAGAGTCATAGATACAGTGAGAGAAAGAAGAGGGAAAGACAGCACTTTCAACAGGGTCTTGATATTGCAAGTGCAATCCACTCACAGCCTTGGGCAGCCCTGGATCACTGGCAGGGGCATACACACTCAGGGAGGTCTCTAGACACAAAACCAGGATCTTCCCATGTGGGTCAGACTCACAGAGGTCAAGTTTTACTTGGCTGTATCACAATCTAGCCATAATGAAAAAAAAATTTTTTTTCTCCTTTTTTTCCCTAGATTATTGCCATAGGGCATGTATGCTGGCCAGAGAAAGACAGAAGAAAGAGGGAAAGTGAGAAATCATCTGCCAATAGCTGAACAAGAGCTCACTGAAACTACACCTGAAGTGTCAGGAATTACAGCGGTGCCAACGCTTTCCCACTAATGTAAGCCTAATGTTCTATATCAGCTATGTGAAGAAAAATGGGATAGGATGATGAATGAGAGTGATTTTGTTTCTCAGTGTTGTATGGGTGTATATGTACTTGCTTGCATATGCATCCTTCAAGGGCTTTAAGCACGGAAGATGATCCTAAAGATCTCTGCACTTCCAAGAAACTGTTCTTTTTTTTGAGAGATTTTTTTTGCTATAGGGCGCGTGCGCTCGCCAGACAGAGACACAGAGACAGAAAGCGAGAAATCACCCCCCAGGGGGGATGGTCACGCCGCAATCCCTTCTCCTCCTTTCTCCTCTCAGGATCCTGGGCATGCACGCACATGCGCCTGGCGTGAGTTTTAAGCCACCGGGTCCGGGACGTGGGAGTCCAGCGACATAGCCATTACGCTAACTGCTGGTTCCCCCAAGAAGCTGTTGTTAACTAAAGCAGAACATTGTTGAATTTCGTTTTGCTTTGCTTTGGATGGATCCTATTCATACTTCTTCTCTTTCACCTCCTAAAAATTCTTACTGACTGTCTATTCTGCGCTAGACTCTGGAGTAGACACTGGGGAGCCCACAGGAGGGATGCAGGAACCTAAGCTCCGTAACACAACTCTGCAGCAGTTGCAAGGGCACGAGGAAATGCACTGCTTGATAGAAGAAGAGAAGTAGCCTGCACACCCAAGACTGAGCACCTCGGTTCTTGTAGCTGGATAACTAATGGTCTTAAAATCACAGCCAGATCTGTGATTCCAACCTAGTGAAATAATCAATGTATTAAAGTTTTTGTGAAGTTATCTATTAGGACATCAGAAATGTCATGACTTATTTTTGCATAGAAAAACACATCATGACTTTTCCCACGACCCAATAGCATAACTTTTTTTTTTTTTTCCTTATTGGGCATGTGCACTCACCAGAGAAACAGGGAGATAGAAAGTGAGAAATAACCACCAATAGCCATGACGCAATCCCTTCTCCTCCATTTTCCTCTCAAGATCTTGGGCACATACGCACCCGGCGTGAGTTTAAGCCACCAAGTCGGGGACTCAAACCGCAGTCGACTACGTGGGAGTCCAGCAACATAGCCATTACGCTAACTGCTGGTCCCAACAGCATGACTTCTAATTAGACTACTGTGATCTATTTCTTCATACCTAACGGTCCTTAATGAGTCCCTTCTTAAATGTTTTTTCCCTCTCTTCTTTCTTCTTGTTCCTCCAATTTTCTCTCAAGTTTGTTGTTACTCGAACCCTCAGCTTAACTCTCGGGCATGACTCCATCACCCTTAATCAATTCCACATCCTTTGGCAAGACTATAGGACATTTCATACACTGACCCTTGCTTCTCTCCCCGACCTCTTTTCCAGTTATTCTACCCTCTTTAAATGGATCCTTCACACCAAACAACTTGCAATTCCTTAAAACCACCAGATTCACTTCTATTCTTTTCCAGCTTCCTTTGTCGTGGCACAAAAAAGCCTTTTAATCTTTATCTACCTAACTTAATTCTCTCAAGTCTCTGATTAAAAGAAGTATCCCTTATCTTAGGTTAAACACTCGTCTTGCCATAAAGCTGTCAGTCAATGTCTGTTTCCTTAGTAAAATCAGTAAGTGATCAAGTTTAAGAAATGTTTTTAACAAGAGAACTAATGTATTACTGATTTGAAAAATATACGCAAAAATATTTCACAACTGTTTTAGATGAGATTTTTAAATGAGAAATTTAAAAATAAGATGTTATCAATAACTTAAATATTCTCATGGCTTTCTACCATCAGTCTATAAAGTTCTATTTTTTAAACGTATTATCTAATAGACTTCCCAGTTTTATGGTATACCAACACCCCTGATTTCTGTGTCATTTTCAACATTTAACAACTTTTTTAAAGTTATTTATTCATTTCTTCCATGGGCAAGAAAGACAGTACTCTCTTCAGAGTCCTGATGCCATGACCACACCAAGATCCAGCCCCCCTATGATCATGGGCAGCGTGTACCTGGTGTACTCAGGTTTCTGGTTGCTAACCTGGAACCCGCCCCTATCAGTCAGCCTCAAAGAACGTGACGTCTTACCACTGCATCACTGTCTGACCCCTTTTCATCATCTGTGATCATTTCAGTAACTTTTGCCCTCAACATGTAATGTTTTAACAAATGCCCACAAAAGACTATTAGCAACATTCACTCAGTTATCTACAGAAATCAGCGGAAGGGGCATGAGAGACACAGTAAAGAAAATCCCCAATAAAAGTTTCGAATCCTTTTCTCAGAAAAGATTGCATGTATTATACTTAGAGGTTGAACTCTCCTATATCTTTAACCTTTCCTCATATTCTAGATGAGATGTTCAGGAATTTAACTTAGTCACATACTGGAAACAGAGAAGCACAAATGAAATGTACATAATAAAAGCCTATGTACTTAGAGTCTAAAAAGTTTATTTACCTCTACTAAATTAAACAGTTTATTTAGGTAGTAAATCATGTGCCATGTTATTCTTTACAATATAAAACAAATTAAATGCTCCCCCAAAAGTTTGTTATCAGGAAATTTATTCGGTAAAATATAGAACAAAAAGAAATAAAAGTTATATGTAACAGTGACATACATCAATTAAATTTAAAATACTGTGGAATTTCACTTTGAATCCTATTTCCAGTCTCGGATCATTTCAAACACATACCTTCTTTGTTAATTGCTTCAATCTTGGCAGGGTAATAGCGACAGTCGGTCCACCGAGCCAGAACTTCTTCTCCAGCTTTAAAGTCCTATTTTAAACAACTTTTTATGATCAATTCCATGTATAACAAATAAGCATTTCCTTAACAAAATTTAACAGAAACCTATTAAAATATGCCATTACATATCTAGCAAAATTAGCAAATGGGAAAAGTTTGCTACTTACAAAGAAATCTTCCTCATCTTTAAGCCCTTCTTTTCGTAGTGCGGGTCTCTCAAGGGGTCGCAATCTATTGCTATCCCAATAAATCCACTCATCATAGCGATGACTCCAACGTTCAAAATGGACCAACATCTTGCCCTCCTCATAGTCAATTTTTTCAATTCGTGATGGATACCTCAAAAATAAAATAAAGTTTCATATCAAGAGAAAACTGTTGTGTTTATACAAAGCCTTAGGAAAACTTTAACTGAACTATTGCTTACCATTAAAAGTATGAATAAAACAACATAATTTCATATGTTTAAGCTACTAATCAGTAAGGTCTGCTTTATTTTTGCTGCCTTTTTTCAATGAATGTTTTCAATATCTGAGGGAATAAACTCTTCAGTATTACCAAAGGAAATACAAATTTTTGCATTCTTTGGGGAAGTAATGTGATTACAGACATCTAGAGCCTTAAACATATTCCTATTTTGGGACCCATTTATTCCAATTCTGGAACTATAATACAAAGCAGTATTTATAGTAATAAAGGAATCAGAAATCATCTAAAACAATGACTGGAAAAACTGAACTGTCTACAGAGAAGTAAACAGTAGTAAACACACTGGTATACTATAGTACACTATTACACAGCTTCTAAATGTGGTGTTTATAAAGAAAGCATAATGTGGGAAAAAGTAAAAAATAAGTAAAAACCATTTTGAAGAATTATAAATCTGTAAATATTGTCTAGAAAAAAATACAAATATTCTAACATGTACACTTATCTTTATATGACATAAGTACACTTTGTTCTTTTTATTTTTTCTATACTTTCCAGTATTTTATGATGAACATCAATAATGGTAGATGAAAGCTCAATAAAATCTTATATTTCAAAATAATATTTTATTGTTCTGTCTTCACATGTGATAATTTTCCTATAATTGATTCTAAAATAGAAACTAGTTAACTTGAAACTTTTTACAAGGAAAATGGTTCATCATTCCTAATATACTGTACTGAAATATTCAGATAACTCCAATTTTTTACAAAGTATAATTAATAACATTTAGAACTCAATAGCAGCATATAGGAACTGACTCAGCCAAAAAATAGATTATCTAAATTTTTTGCTGTTTTTTTTTATAATTTTGGAATCTTTGTTCTCCCCGTGAAAAACCAGCTTTAATGGAAGGCACAAAGACTTTATATAACTTTATAAGTTAGAAATTGATTACTGCCTGCTTTGTAGATCCTTCACACTATTTGAGGTTTCCTATATATTTGGAGGGTCCCAAGTCATCCTCTTGGCATAGCTTTTTCTTTCTTTGACAGTCAGCCTCACTGTGGTTTAATGAAACTGAGCTACCAGAACTTCATCAAACACACCATGCTCTACCAAGCACTGGTGTGCTTTTGTACAACCTATCTTTTCTGCCTAGCTCTAAACACCCTTCCTTTCCTTTCTACACACGCTGTTTAAGACTTTAACACATAAGCACTCATGTGAAGAACCCCTAACTTCTCTGCTCCTTTTGTATCAGAGCACTCGTCATGCTATAATCATCTCTACAGAGATTATATAATCTCCCAAACAGGGTGCTGTAGAGCATTTACATACCATGATACACTGAAATGTGTGGCACAAAAAAAGGGTCCCCTGGCCAAATAAGCCTAGAAATACTGGATTAAAAAAAAAGTTAAACTGCTTTCTTTATTGGAAGACTTTCTGATGCTGTCAACAAGATGGAGATTAAGCATTCAATGTTATAAAACTTGGAAAAAGACGCAACCTCTTTTATCATGGAATATTTATTAACATTTCTTGAGACAACAGAGAGCTAAGGAACAGGAGGTCAGAAAAGCTACTTTAGCCCTGGCGCTTGTGGAGATAGCTGAGGCATGTCCATCCTCATAGCCCCCAGCACCCTGCCCAGTGACGGGCAACACAGCCACTCGGGGAATATTCAGCAGCAGTAAGAAGGGATGTGCAATAAAGATAACGTGCACATTTCTGAACTTAGAAGGCGCTGACCCAATTAAAACCTTAACTTAGATCTTGGTCTTAGTCTTTCTGGGGAGTGTGGGTGAAGGAACACTTTGTAAAGAAAAGCATAAAAACAAGAAAACCTAGGAGATTAACATACTTACTGAGGTAGACGTGCCTACCCCACCTACCTAGAATCCAATGTAAACCTTGCCTTTTGCAGTCTTGGTCTCCTTTTTTTCAGTCACTCTATTTTTATTTAAAGATTTTTTTTATTCAGCTTTATTACCATTATTATTTTTTAAAATCTGACCAAGGAGAGACAGAGATAGAGAGGGTAAGTGAGAAACCAAGGCATGAGGTCCAGGACTTGAACCATGGTTGGTCATGTGAGTCCAGCACCTTTAACCACCACCCCATCTGCTGGCCCAGTTGCTCTACTTTTTTAAACATAAAAATTATCAATAGCTTTAAGGGAAACAAAGAACAAGTTGTCCTTTATTAAATTTTAACGTTCATTAGCGACTCAAGTACTATAAAGAGACTTTCTATTAATTATAAAAATTGACAAATTTATCTCAAAACATGACAGTGTCTAAATTCATATGCTTAAAATCATCACATCTTTCAGACTGTGAGTAAAAAATATGAAGCTTCTTATCCAGGTTCCATCAAAGTCTAACATATACAATTCTATATACTTAAAACACCTCTTGAAATGAGAACAGTTGGGACCAGCAGTTGGAGTAATGGCTATGTTGCTGGACTCCCATGGAGTCGAGTCCTGGACCTGGTGGCTTAAACTCACGCTGGGCGCATGTGCATGCATGCCCAAGATCCCGAGAGGAGAATGGAGGAGAAGGGATTGTGGCATGGCCATCCCCCCAGGGGGTGATTTCTCACTTTCTTCTCTCTGTCTCTCTCTGTCTTTCTGGCAAGCGCAAGCTCCCTATAGCAGAAACCTCTCAA